CCCTTGATGTCAAAATGCTGAGTATGCAGAGGTCTGAGGAATTAACTAGAAGGAATAGGGGGCTGGATTAGAGTGCATAGGGCAGGACAGCGGTTCTCACTCTTGAGTATGCATCAGAATGAGTTAAGTATTACTACATAATAAATCAGCCAATGACAAACATTCAGTCAACAAACTGTGAGAGTTTTTGTGGGTCAGGAGTCCAGGAGCCACTTAGCTGAGTGCTTGTGGCTCAGACTCTCTCAGGAGGTTATAGCTGAGGTGCAGGACAGGGGAGGGATCGGCTTCTAAAGCAGTGGTTCTCAACCTGTGGGTCGCGACCCCTTTGGCGGTCGAACGACCCTTTCACAGGGGTCGCCTAAGACCATCCTGCATATCAGATATTTACATTACAATTCATAACAGTAGCAACATTACAGTTATGAAGTAGCAACGAAAATAATTTTATGGTTGGGTCACAACATGAGGAACTGTATTTAAAGGACCAGAAGGTTGAGAACCACCTGCTTCCAAGCTCAATCTTTTTTTTTTTTTAAATTCAAAAGCACTTGTGAGCATTTAATGAACTTCCCTCCATGTAGCTTCAAGCTACCAGGACACAGGCCCCACCAGCACCCTTAATGTTCTCCTCAGCTCTTCTGCTGGAGAACTTGGCCTTCACCATGACATGCTGCTTTGGGAGCCTTCCCTTCCCCAGAACTTGGTAGTAGCCAGACCACACCACGTCAGTGACAGGAGCAGCTCCAGTCTTGTTTTTGGCAGCATTTACCCGTGTCTGCTCACCGACCAAGGTCCACAGTTTATCAAGGTTGACAGTTGGACAGAAGCTCTGGTTCCTCTTTAAGTGGTAATGCTTCACATCAGCTTTCCCAAAGGAACCCAGGCGATATTTGTGGAAGTTGAACCTGTGATAATGCAAGCCACCAGCATTACCTCAGCCTCCCCGGTGCTTCCTGTGCTTGCGATGCAGCCATGGTTGTGGCTCACGTGGCCCCAGAGTTTCTGGGTCTTTCTCAGTCTGGATGGCATATGGGTGGCCGAGATGCAAGAGCCCAAGCTCACTCCTGTGGGCCTCTCCCCAGGGCTGCTTTGCAACATGGCCCGTGGCTTCTGAGACAGAGAGAAAAAGAGAGAATATGAACCTCAAGATGGAAGCCACAGTCTTTTTTAAAATTCACTTTATTTTTTAAAATATATTTTTATTGATTTCAGAGAGGAAGGGAGAGGGAGAGATAGAAACATCAATGATGAGAGAATCATTGATCGGCTGCCTCCTGCACGCCCCCTACTGGGGATCGAGCCCCCAACCAGGGCATGTGCCCTTGACTGGAATCAGTCCACAGGCCGATGCTCTATCCATTGAGCAAACCGGCTAGGGCTGTTCACTTTATTATTATTAGTTTTGTAATGTGTCCTTTAAATGTTCAGTAGTTATTCTATGGTTATAACATATTTTTATTGCTATCATATTTTTCATTATATTACCTGAATATATTTTATTTTACATTTTGTCATCAAAAGGTACTGATTTTTCCCAGTTTTAATGAGATTTAATTGACATATACCATTGTATAAGTTTAAGGTGTACAACATGATGATTTGATATATGTATATATTGTGAAATGATTACTGCAATAAATTTAGTTAACATCCATCAACTCATATAGTTACAAATATTTTTCCCTTTTGACAAGAACTTTTAAGAGCTGCTTTCTTAGCAACTTTCAAACCTTCCAGTTATAAGATAAATAAGTTCTGGGGATGTAATGTGCAACATGATAACTATAACCAATAATACCATATTGTATAATTGACTTTATTTTTTAGAATAGTTTCAGATTTATAGCAAAATTGAGAAGATAGTACGGAAGTTCCCATTCTTGCATTAGCCTGGTACATTTGTTACAATTATTCAGGAACAAATGTTGATACATTATTATTAAACAAATTTGGTCCCAAGTCCACCCTTTACTCAGAATTTCTTGGTTTTTACAGAATGTCCTTATATATGTTCCAGAATCCCATCCAGAATAGCACCTTATATTTTGCCACCATGTCTCCTTAGGCTTCTCTTGGTCGTGACAGTTTCCTTGTTTTTAATGACCTTGATGGTTTTGAGGAATTACTGGTCAGGTATTTTGTAGGGCTGTTTTATAAGCTACTCTTTGAAGTGAGGTCTCATCACTCTAGCTATCCTCTGTTAGTGAGAAGCGTGTACTACTAAATCTCTTGAGGGGAAGAATATAAAAGAATTTGTGGCTATATCTTTAAAACCCCCATAGCTTGCCAGACCCCACCCCAGAGTTCCTGATTCAGTAGGTCTGGGGTGGGGTCCAAGACTTTGCTTTCTAACCAGTTCCCAGGTGACACTCCTGCTGCTGGTCCAGGGATCTTGCTTTGAAAGCTACTGGAAGTGGGGCCTCTGGGCAAGACCTTGGTGTGTGCAGGAATCAAAAAAAGTTCATCAAGATCTATTTATTTCTCTCAAGACCTGTCTCTTACAACTACAACTCTCACTGAAATCAACCCACTGATTTAGCTTCTGGATATTGCCAATTTATACAAAACTATTAGCTAAAAATACGTGTTGCTGTATAAAACAGGTACAACGATATCCTGTGTTTATATTAGATATGATTTATTTCATTTGATTGTCACAAATGCCAGGGAGAGAAATCAGGTATCTTCATCTGATATAAGAGGTAACTGGGACAGCAAAAGTCTAAGTGACTTGCTTAAGGTCTCACAGGTAGTTAATGATAGAACCAAGCTTGGGACTGGGTCATTTGAGCACAATTTCTATTATAATTATTCCCAACTTCTAAGATTTGCCACCTTTTGAACAATCAATAAAACGACCCACATGACAGTTTAGGTAATCAAATCAACAAAATACATAGATTTAAAGTAGCATTTTGTGTAGTGGAAAAGGAAGGAGTGAAACAAGTGATTTTGAAGCTCAGAAACCAGCAGCATTTGCAGCTTAAGTTGGAAAAATCTTCCTCTTTACCAATATTCAAATTCTTCCTGCTCACTGACTCCCACAATAGCCAATAAGTACATGCTGCCTCCAGGTAGCATCTGAGAAAGTCACTGGAGGAACCACAGGCCACAAGGTCTTCTTGCCTGCCCACACGCACCAACAGGATTGCTTAGCTCTGCTAGCAAAGCTCCTGGCTCAGTGGTTGAGTGTTGACCTGTGAACCAGGAGGTCACGGTTTGATTCCCAGTCAGGGCACATTTCCGGGTTGTAGGCTCGATCCCCAGTGTGGGGCCTGCAGGAGGTGGCCAATCAATGATTCTCTCTCATCATTGTTGTTTCTATCTCTCTCTCCCTTTCCCTCCCTCTCTAAAATAAAAAAAAATATATTTAAAAAATAAAGAGGTTGTTAGTATGTCTCTTTCAGACTTTGGTTTGAATGGAAAAGACCTGGTAGTCCATATATCATACCACCACCAAGATGACTTGAAAATCTAGAAGTGGAGAAGACCATTGGATGTCTTTGAGTGTATGGATTAGTGTTCTTTAAGTTCAGAGTAGAGATGCAATAGGATTGAATGCATAAATACCAATTGGAGGCACAAAAGCTAAGTAGCTACACACCAATAATTTTATTCAGTGAGAAAAACAGTCTAATCAGACCAAAGGAGTGGTTTCTAACTACATTTTTACCATTCCTTAGAGAACATCCTGCCTTTCATTTTAATTGATGTTGACACGTTGCCAAAAATAAAATAAGGCTTGGTGGAAATGGTTAAAGCAAGCAGTACTTCATATGTTCACATTAGGAAATAATGATTTCATATACGGAACTCTGAGTTCAAGTTCACTCTTATGTAGACAAAGAATACCCAATACAGTGTGTAAGCATACACTTCTGTCCCAAAGTAGTGGTGCTGCTGGTGGGGAAGCAAGAAACTGTCCTATGGTGGTGGCGGTGATGAGGGTGTATGAAAGGTAGTGCCAATGACCTTAAATTGGATCCTTTCAACCCTAGTGGAGGTGGGGGCATGAAGCAGAGAGTCAGTGACCTTATAATTAATCCTGCCCAAATGGTATTAGGGGGAGTGCACAGGGGACGGAGGGGGAGGCACAAAACAAAGTGTCAGTGACCTAAAATTTGATACCATCCAATGGTGGTGGTGGTGACAGTGACTTAATTAACTTGTCTAAAAGTGTTGGCCCCATGGGAGGGTGTGGGGGAGGTGGTTGGGGAGCAGGAGCCACGGGCCACGAAGCAGAGCAATCCTTTCCAGAGGTG